TGCACCAGTGTTGACACTCACAAATGGAATCCTGCCCACAGCAAGTACACTTGATGTTTGTAGTGGTCTTTCAGCTGTCTGCTGCCTTATCCATCTATTAGCATTGCTTTAGGCTTGCTGACAAGGTAATGTGACAATTTCAGCACTAAATAGGTGCTAAGCAAAGATGACTCTAAGCGGGCCACCTACTTACTATGGGGAGCGTGACTGTTTCTGCATGAAATCCTTTTTTGCTGTTTGGGAGAATTCAAATGTGATTTTCTGTTCTTTGTGTCTAAGATAATATGACACGAACTATAGCTGAGGGGAAGGAGAATGAGGACTCTGGATTAGAAATGTGTTTATTTCTCTAGGCAGCAGAGTGATTGACAAGCCCAGTGGTATCCAGGATAAAACCCGCTACATTTGGGAGCCTACTGAATAAAATGGTGCTAAGGCACCCCTGCAGCTGCCACAGCACTACCGGAGTGGACTGTTCTTTGGGTTTTCAGTTTCTCTTTTTTCTGTTAATGCCTACAAAGGTGACCTTCTAAAGAAACAAATGATTTCTTTTGAAGGGATAATTATTAAGTTTCTTAGACATGGAAATATAAGCAAGCCTTCAATGATACGGTGATCCTTATCTATTGCAAGCTGACCCAACAACTCCCACAGGAGGTTTGGAGCATGGATCTATTTTTTCCAGATAAGGATCTTAAAACACTCTATCACTTATTTGAGGAAAGGATCTTTGTGTCTGTCTCATTCTTTTCCCCTTAAATCCTTTTATTTCCTGCTTATATGAGAGGTATATTAATACAGAATAAGAAGCGGTATGTGATTTATTTCCTTGCTGGAGCTCATTTCTCTTCTGGTCCACCTTACCCTCCTGGTACTCGTGAAATAACCAGATTACAGAGTTTCCAGTTTAATGACTATTGCTTTGCTCTTAAAGATCTTGTTACAACAAATGAACAGCAGTGTTACTAATAAAGTCTCTGCTGTTAATATTTAATAACTGTTTTCCTGTTATATATTAAAAAGATCCTCAATTTTAAGTATATTTTGAGTACTTGAGCTTTTAGTTGTGTTTGTTAAAGAAACCAGAAGTGCTTTATATAACTTTTATAAATTCTTAAGACTTTAAATATGTATAAAGTCCGTCCAGTTTTCTCTGATCACAACATAGAGTTTCACCTTTTTGATATATCAGATGAAAGTCAACATCTAATTGTGCTCTTTTTAAAACTTGTGTAAAAACAACAACAAAAACCCATCAGTGGAATTCCTGTTTGGATTACTGAAGACGATGTTTTAAAATAAAGGAATTGATGCTGAAAGAGAATTGAAAAGGTAAATCTGTTTATGTCAATTTAAACAACTTAACTGCAACCAGGTTTAAAAATGGTGTAACCCAAACACATTTCAGACATTTCAAATTTTAAGGTAGATACAGTCTAATCACATTGAATTGCTTCTAAGCAGCACTTTTCCTCACATTTCAAGCAAAGTGTTTACTACAGTACAATTTCACACTGATTAGAAGGGTGGAAAATACAGTCTCCAGAAGTGACTCAAAGAAGTTTATTCATTGTCATGTGGGCTTGCTTTGGGCAGATCAGACAAGCTCATAGGCATGTCAGCAGAGAGCTGAGCCCTGCAGTTCTGTGACAGCACTGATGGATGTGTGCTGCTGTCAGCTCAACAGCAAAAGGGGGATTTTCTAATGCAGGTCAGTCAGGGGATGTTTGAAATACTTTAATATTTTTTTATAAGGAGCTTCTAAATATGCTACTTATGCTAAATGTGCTCCTTATTAAAATGATATTCTGGGCCAGGTGAAGGTGAGAGTCCTCCTTGGGCAGTTCTGCTTCAGCAGGTAAATCGTTTGTCAATTCTACCCTGACTGATGGCCATAAACAATCTACCAAGTAGTTATAATGCAAAAGAGCTGATAATACTGATAATATCCATTTTTATATAATAATTTATGGCAGTACATAACGGACACTTCCAAACTACAAAGAACATTTTTGAATAGAGGATTTTATCTTCATATGTGATGTCTTAAAAATTCAAAAGATACTCTTGATTTCTATGCACAAGAAAACGTGTATTTTGAACCAAATTTGGAAATATTTCTAATGGAGATCTCAGACTGAACAAATTTCTGTATTACATCATTGTTGCTCTGTGAAATGTTAGATCTAAGCAGAAGAATTTCCTTACCAAAAAAACATTTACTATCTAAAATATTAGCTGGAAAGTCTGAGAAGAAGGAAAAAAGCAAAACCCAATTTTCTGCTATTCACTTTTGAAACCATCTTTTGATTTGTTCCCTTTTAGCTAAGTCATTGTTTTTCCTTGCTGTTTCATGTACAAAGCAAACTGCATACCAAAACCACACACTTCATGAGTCAGAAGTTGGAAACAAGTAGAGATGTTATTGCTATTGCTTTCAGTAACACAAAGTCAGCAGGTTGCCTTCCTTTCATCTTGGCAGGATGATAATTCTTATAATGCTATTTTAATATACAACTCTGTACATACTTTATGTTACACTCCCACCATATGTTACATAAAATGCTAAATTAGGTTTTAAAGAAAAGAGTCTTTATTGTGCCTCATTTCTTTCAAATATGAGCAAAGAAGAAAATTATAATAGACATGAAGCTGCATCCACATGCAAGTCTACATCTCATTCCAAAAATGTGTTTTGAAATTGTTCTGTCTTCTCTTTGATGGTCTTGCTTATGGTGTGTGATTAAGCTAATTCAAATATATATACAAACACATAACAGGATTGGAAGAGCAGAATTCTTTGAACTGGTTGGAGAAATAACTCTCCAGAAATAAAGATTTACCTCACAAACAAAGTAAAATGTTCACTTTTCTATAAAAAGTAAGTCTAGTTACGTTTGAAACAAACTATATGTATAGTATAATAAATGCTGATGGTTTGGGTGAAAGTTGTTCAAAAGAAAAATCCAAGAGTTTGAAAGTTGTGGTTTAATTAATAGAGAAACTGTTACAGCTCATGGCTGGTATACCTTTTTAAAGAAAGAGATAAATTTCAGTATATTTGAGTAAATGTATCAAGTAAAGTAATATGTGACTCCGAATAGAAAATTACTGGGGAAGATGTACCTTTCTCCCCACTGCTTATGTATCCAAATGAACACAGATTGGGATCTATGAAAAGACATAATTACAGTTTTTAAAAATGTGTCATCCGTCCTCTTTCATTCTACAGCTAAATTAGCACATTCTCGGGATACAGTAAAAATATGGAGCATAACATTACGACTATTTTATCTGTCTATATTTAATACAGAGTCAACGCTTAGAATGAGTATGGGAACATCGAGGCCCTGGCACAAGCGAGCAGCATTTCAAGACTGCAATTAAGAGGAGCTTCTATTGAAGGCACATCAACCAAGTGCCTTTCTGAAGTAGGAATAAATGGTAAGGGACACATGGCGATGCACATGAACGCTTTCTAGACTGCCTGCCAATGAGGGCAGGGAGCTGATTCCACTGACGCGCATGCCTTGCTGCCTCCTGCCCTCAGGAGGAGCGGCTGTGCCTGCAGTCCCTCCTACAGAACACGAACGTGACCTGCCCTGTGCCCGGGGTTTGGTCCTGCTCTTGCATAGGATGCCTGGCTGCCTGGCTGCAAAGGCATGGCTGAGAGCCCCTTCAAAAAGCAGCTACTGGAGACTAGTCTGCAACGGGGATGGTGAAATCTGCAGGCTAGGACTGGCGCTGTGCCAAGTGGTCCGGGGACTGCGTGCATTTAGGATTTGGGTATGAATTGCTTTCAAGAGCAAGTCCGGGCTTGTCTGCCGGTATTGCACTTACAAAAACATCTCCCCGGGAGGCAAAATCCTACTGAAGACCTGCAGGGTTTAGGTGCAAAGTCCCACTGGGTCTTTTGCAAAGTGAGAAGCCTGAGCTTTGGTGGCTTGCAAAGGCACAGGGGCTTGGCTGCTCTCTGCAAACGAGACTGTTGCCAAATCTGTGAAGGGCCTGCTACTGCAGGGGCTTTATCCCCCAAGGTGTTGAAGGGTGCACCCAGCTCTTGCAGGATTATTTGCTCCAAGGGAAGGACTTCTGCTCGGCTGTGAAACACACTCTTTTGCATATTAGAATTGTTTCAGAGCAAGCAGATAGATGTTACCTGGTTCTCTTGAAACTTAGTAGAAATCTTAACAACTACCTGGTGATTAATTGTCGTGATGTTCTTTTTAAAGTAGAAGAAGCTATTGGCACTCTAGGATTTTAAAACACAGCTATTGTATAGGCGGGAAAAACCAGCAGTTGTGCCTTACATTGCAAAGCGAGACGTTTTCTCCTGAAATGGGCTACTGTGTAAACCATGGGTTTGCAGCTATCAGCAGTAACAAATAACTAGTGCTTTCTAAGCAATACTTGAACTGGAGCATTCCTGTATTTCTAATCATAAACCTGCCTTTGTTTCCAGAGAATAAGGAATTCTGAGAAAAGGAGACGGGTCTTTCGAATGACATATGCTTTCCACCTTCATCTTAGTAACTTCTTTTGAAAAATAGAATGATGAAAGTGGTTCATTTCTGCTGAGGCAGTCACTCCTCTTGATCAAGAGAAGCACGCTGCAAATTGGAAACAAAACGGGACTGAAACCCTGTGCATATTAAAAGTGAACGCATGAGGGGCATGAAAGTGGCTGCAGATGGTAAGGTGCCAAAAGCGAAAACTATCTCTTAGGGCAATAAGGGACACTGCATTTCTCTCCATGCTCACCCAAAACTCCCCCCCTCTGCATGCACCAGCACAGGATACGCACACCAGCACAGGACATGTACTCAGGTGTGCGCCGTGCCCCCTGCTCCTGCAGGCTCAGCCCCCCAGGCTGAGCTTTGGCTCCAGGCTGCACCAATGGGCCGCAGAGGACCCCAGGGGAGCCGTGCCTGGCCGAGGGACGGGAGGCCGGGGGGCCAAGGGCGTTCCCCACCCCCTGCCCCACGGCCCTGGGTTGCTACATGTCGGGGCAGCACCTCTATAAGAACCCTGCGGCACAGCCCCGGGCCGCGGGGCGGGAGAGTCGGAGCTGTTGGGCCATGGAGGCCGCCGAGGCCACGGCGAAGGCGGCCCTGCGGGCACCCAAGTGCTCCCGCTGCCGCAACCACGGCTTCGTGGTGCCGGTGAAGGGCCACGCCGGGCACTGCCGCTGGAAGCTGTGCCTGTGCGACAAGTGCTCGCTCATCACCGAGCGGCAGAAGATCATGGCAGCGCAGAAGGCGCTGAGGCAGCAGGAGCCCGACCCGCCGGCCCGGGCGGGCGCGGACGCCGCTCCCTCGGGCGAGGCTTCTGCGGCGGCGGCGGCCGAGGACGATGCCCCCGAGCACTGCGGCCTCGAGGGGAAGAAGGGCGCCCAGCCCGACGGCGGCAGCTGCAAAGGCACGGTGTCCTGGGGATCACCGCCGCCTCCCTTCAGGGACCTCGGTAAGGACCTGGCCCCAGAGCCGCTTCTCCTGTCCAGCATCTTGCTATGTTCATGCTCCTGTTTCCCTTTATCAAACCCTGCCGCTTGTGCAGTTCGCACCTGCTGATTCCTCAGGCTCCGGCCCCCCACGAGCCATTCCCTGCTGTGTGTCGCGCTTTCCTTGCTCAGTGGGCTCAGCTGGCATGTTGAATGCCCAGCCTGCAGTGCCGTTCCCTTCGCAGCGCGGGCAGCAGCAGCGTGCTCGGCCTCGCCGCTCCTTGCGAGGCTGAAGCTTAAGCAAGTGGCTTTTCTCTGAGAGGGGAGTTGATTTTGGGAGGGCGAACAAACTGGGATCTGCTTTGCATGTTTCTCCCAGTGCTGGCTCACTGTTTCTAAATTCACAGGCACAAGCCTCCAGCAACAAAAAGCTCGGCGATGGCGGGTAAATGGGGAAGGTACTGCTGCAGTGTCTGAAGCAAACATTTTATGATAGCGCTGTAAAATAAAGAGACCTTTTGGCCTTAATTTTTGTAGAAAAAACTAAACTTGGCTGGGACGACTTGGTGTAAAAGTGCCTTTAGTATTTAAGAGTAGGGCCTAGATTTTGCAGGTGGACCAATATGGTCTGTCAACTCTTAAATTGCTTCCTTTAATAGAGTTTTTCATGTGATTTTTACTATTTATTATAGTAATTGCATTCTATTACCATTTAATAATTTTACAGAAATCGTTACTGACTGCAGTAGTCATTAATCTGAGCTCTAGAGAGCTGTCAGACTGCAAGACAAAATGCTGTTCTGAGAAGCCCAGAGGAAAGACTTGTTTCAGACATCTCTAGCATCTGACATTACTGTCAATACTTCCCTTTTTTAGCTGTGTTTCCAAAGAAAATTATGTTTATGGATGACACTAGTTGTACAGTTGCCTGTCAGTCCTTCTCTTAATACCATTTTTAACAGCCTGACCAACTACAGAAAAGGTTAGGCACAAGTAATGTAACTGTACATCTTGAAGATGGAAGATTAAAAACTGAAGTAATTGATTTCTGCATCTGAAGTTGCCTGTGTATGACCCTAAAACTGAGCCTGTGTGTAAAATAACTTAGTGACAGATAGGACTCTATTATTAGAACTGTAAAGTTAGAACTCGTGTTATTTCTGTGGAACTTTGTTTTAAGTACTGCTTAAGTCTTCAGGTAGGTTGTTTTGCTGTTGCTGATGTTCTGAACGGGATTGTGTAGCCAGTATATTACTAAGGACAAGCTTCTCAATGCACAAGATAGAAAAGAATGCAAAATAACTGTGTTACAAGTGTCATCTACTGTACCTTTCCTTAGTTCCAAAAAAATCACAAAATTAAATTCATGAGGAGCTAAGCAGGAAACCAAAGGACCAGATTCTCCTGTCTGAGAATGGAATTTGTCCCTACAGCTACTTTTACAGAATTACATGGATATTTTTATTTGTTCTTTTCTCATTGTTTCCTAGTTCACCGGGCTTTTCCTCCAGAATACGCTGTCAACACAGAATACCTGGAGAGAGAGGCCCCGAAAGTGTACCCTGGGTGTTCTGGGGTGTATCCTTACCACCCATTTCCCATGGGATTTGCCATCAGTGAGTCAAGCAGTGGGGAAGCACCACCTCCAGGGATACCACTTGGTTTCCGACACATTCCTAGCAACTATGGGCCAGGGAATGCAGCTTCTGTATCAGTAAGTAGCAGGCTCTTAATGACCTGTGCTAATAGCATTGCCTTTACTTTTAAAAAGTCATCCAGTTTATCAGTTACTTCTCAGCATTTTGATATATTACGTTGAAGAAAACATCAGCAGAGGTGATGTTGATGTTAATAGTCTGACGTGAGCCCACAACAGCAAACCCATGCACTTAAAAGTGGACAGAATTTGCAAGGTGTTTTGGGGCATTTATATCCTGCTAAATTCTGAAACAGCCTTTTGGACACTTGCACATGGTCACATTGTGCCAGTGTAGATGGCACAGATACGAATTGGGAGATTGCTCTTTTTCCATGCAGGACAAATCTAACAGGATAGGAAAAACATCAGGGCTTGGCCAGGGTACCACAGCCACAGAGAGTGAGTGTGGTTGCTCCTGGTTCAAATCAGCTGCTCCAAGGAGATCCAGAACAGGTGATGAGGACTTAGGCCAGTTTTGCTGAGACATGGTGTGAGAAGCTTCTGCTTCTCCGTGTCAGCATGTTACACTGTGCACAGGTTTTGCACGTGTCAATACAAGCGTGGACATGGCAGCATATGGATAAAAAAATGTAATACAGGTAAAAATTGAAACAGATACTTGTTTGATAATGCAGATTTATCCTGGAGAGAGTGTTTAGATGGAAGATGATTTGCTTCGTGTGTTTCCACAGGTTCCAGATGGAGGTGGAGATTTCCATCAAGGATACTACACTGCTCTGCCTCCCTTCATCACACCAAGTTTTCTGACAGGGATTCATTACATTCCAACTACCGTTTCACTGAACATCTTGGCTGAAACATCCAAGGAAGCACATGGTAAGGAAGTATGAGATGAGCCCTGGGAGATCCACCATTAACCTGGTTTCAATATCTAAGCACAGAAATGGAAACCCCTAGAGACCCTGATCCCAGCTAGTTGTGAGGGGTTCCCAGAGTCCTGAGATGGAGCCAGGACTGAGGTCCTGAAGTGCTGGGCCAGACTGCCAGCTGGCACAGCTCTGGGAGGGGCTGACCTGAGGGAAGCAGCCTGGCATGCAGCTGATAAACACCTCAGTCTCAGGCAGACAATGAAGGCTGCAGGACTCAGAGCTATTCCAGAAAATGATCTGCTGATGTTCTCAAAACGAAAATATTTTTCTACATAGTTAGTTTGCAGGGTATATTTTAGAAATCATTTGGCTCTGTTGCAATTTAGACAAATTGTTAAAAAATCATGTGGACTAACCCTTACCATGAATAATATGAAATTTCTTGCTCATCTGAAAATCCTCCCTTTTAATTGCTGCAAAAGAAAGATTGAATCTTCAAAATCTTGCGTTGATTCTGTCAAGAATTTTAATTTCTGCCATAGATTAAGTTTTTGTGCCCCTCTACTTTGTGTCTGTTTCATGTTTTGTGCTTACATATGGACATACCTGTGATTATATTCACAAGTTTTTCATTTGGCTGCAGCAAGCTGTGACCACAAGAGGGTAGAGCTGCTCAGAGTATTAGCCACTAGTGCAGGATAAGCAAATATCCAATTTTATTTTGAATTTGTTTTTATTTAATCTTTTGAAAATACAGATAAATAAATACAACTTTATTTCTTTCCTGAGTTAGAGGGGAAGAGAGGAAAACAAGTGCTAGCACATAAACCAGAAAGTGTATGTAGGGATCAATGGGTTTTGTGATTGGAGATCTAGGGAATGCTGCAGTGGCAGAGAATATGTAGGAAGCTGCAGCTTTTCTGTTGGACTTCATGGGAATGGGAAGGAACTGGGAGTAGCACACAAAAAATGGGAGACATGGAGTGAAGTTATAGTATTGTGTGAGGGAAACAGGAAATCCAGTCCTGCACTGGTGGAGTGAAGTTGTACTGGCCAAAAATGATGAAAACAGGATAGAGAAGAGACACCAAGAGAGCAGCCTCCCCAGAGAGCAAAATGCCATCTAATGACCTCAGCCCAGGCACAAAGCCATAGGAAACAATGCATCATGGACTGTGCTGCTCAGAGAACAATCCAATTTTCTTAGTACTGTGGAGAAAGTAGAAATTACTGCATTGCATTTGTGCTCCAGGGTATGTAGGAATTTACAGTTGTAACGCAGCGAGGGGGATAATTCTGCATGAGGTCATACAAAATAGCCTGGCAGCAGAAGATGCAGATGTAGGGCAAAGAGTGAAACTAATAAATCCTTTGATTCTGGAATTCAAGATGCTTGAAAAAAGAGAAAAGCTGTAACATATAGTGCATAGGGATGTGTTAGGATTGCATAATGTCTTTTTTTTTTTTTTTTTTTCCCCAAAACCAAACTGACTCCAACCTGCAGTTAGGCTTGGGACTGTCCTTCCCCCAGAGACCTCCTGAACTGAGGTGAAATGGGCTTTCTGGCAAAACTGTTGCAGGAAAATGGATATAAAAACTCTAGCAGGGGACAAATGGTGTGGAAAGGTGTGTGTGATCTCTGCCCCATAGGAAATCTGAGATGAAGACAAATAAAAAAAAAACCAAGTCCTACCTGAAAAAGGTGTTCTTAGACTAGAATCTGCCACCAGAAAGATTGAGTCAGTATGAGGCTGGTTTGGTGAAGTATAGGCCATGATGTTACTTAATTTCATGCAGCATGAACTCGTTGTGTTATGGAGATCTGACAAACACAAGGTATGTGCAGTAAAACAGACAGCACAGCATCTGAGGATAGACTCTGCTTGCAGATTGTTGGCTTTCTGAAAGAGCAAGCCACGGAAAAACAAACAAAACCCATGTGTCCTGTGAGGCAATGAGGGAGCTTTTCATGCAAATTGGCAAGGAAGTACTTCATAAAATGAAAATCCCTTGTTGGATTTGAAGGAGGGTTTATTAATCAGTCTGTCCCAGTCTTTGAGAATTCACAGGAGTGTTAAAAAGGCATGGCATAGGTTCATGGTGGGTAAGTGGGTAAAAGCATCTGCCTCATACTTCGATACCAGTGCAGCTTCAGATGTTGAAATGTGATTGGTACCATGTGTAAAGAGAACTGAAATGCAGGGTTTGGTGGTTTGGCTTGTCTGTGTTTAACTCTGGCATTTTTCCGTTCTTCATTTTAGCTACTGAAGCTGACAATGAGGATTCAGGGGTGATGCAGGAACCTGGACAACCACCTTCTTCCCCAGAAGAAACCAGCAGAGACCAACCTGTACACTCTAAACAGTAAATGGGCTGGAGAAGAGCTGAGAGCAGGCAGCACAGTTTTGCTTTTTGAGGAGAGTGTTAGTTAATGAGGGTTGAGTGACACTTAGTCACTGAGCAGCTGAACACAACACAGCTAGAAGGGGTTAGTCCCCTGCCTCTCTTTATGATCATGTTAGAGCTACCAGGCTCACAGCTCTGCCTCCTGAGCACTGCAAAGCCCATGTTCTAGAATAGGTTTTCCAGTGGAAGCAGCACATGATTATGACTCTGAATTTGTTCCTTTGCTGAGGTTACATGGCTCCCTGACCTTGGAGTGAGGTCTCTGAGCCGTGTGCATTCTGCAGCATTTTCATGTTCATGACAGTAGTCAAAAAGGTGTTGTTTGTATCTGTTTGCTTTAAAGGAAATCTGGTTCTGAATGTTACGGAAGAGTTAAGTGATGTGGAGCCTGAGGACTGGGGGAAAGAGGATGGGAAGACAGCCTGGGTTGCTGATGAACTTGGCTGGCTAAGATGATTGACTGGATTCAGCAGAGTAAGGGAACAGTAGGTGCTGGTCCAGAAGGGCATGGCAGGAATGTGTGGAAGGCCTGGTGCCCCCGCACTGTTTTTTGGGTGAACTGCCTTTAAGGCACCTTCTGTTCACGCTGGGGACAAACTTGATTTGGAATCACCACTTGTCACACAGGCTTCACATCGGACAATTTGAATATCCTTGATGATTTATACAGGATTTCAGTGTTGCTGAACTCGTGACAGCTGAAACTAAACAGTGATATTTGTTTCTGAAGGGCTCCTGTAGACAGCTTTGTCCATGTGTGTTGGAAGAGCACTGTGGTGTATCAAAGGTGTGGAGAGATTGCCCAGGAAACTGGGACAGAACACCCTTTAGAATAATAATTTCTCAAATCCATACATACTATGATTTTCAATGCTAACCTTTAATTAAAAATGAATTAATTAAACATTCCTCTGCTGTTTTGCCCAGAGGAATTGGTTTTGTACTAAGTGCATCAGTTGTTAATGTTTGAATAATTGGGGCGGGACTTTTGTATAATTAAAAAAAGATACATTAAATTGTTGTTACAGTTCGATGTGTGTCTCCATGTATTTTTTTCTAGCCAAATGTCAGATGTAGCCCTGAACAGCTCTGTGTAGCAGACTTGTCTGGAGAGAGATTTAGGCCTCCGTATTTTTCTTCTATAATGTCTGTCTGCTGCTGTAGAGGTGAGCACAGTAAAATAAACAGACTTCTCTGCTACTTGTATTAATAATCCCTTGCTCAATGCAAGAAGTAAAGAAATTATACTAAGCTGAACATCTATCTTTTTGTTTAATTTAGTGGATGATCTGTTGGAATGCTTTGCAGCACACAGCATTTTGGGGCAGAAGTGAAAGTGGCCAATTTAGAACTGCCCAGAGGAAAAGCAGAAAAATGAATATATCTATAGCAAAGAATCTGATGTACAGCTTGTTATGTACTAGATTTACAACAGGATCTTTGCTCCCAGCAGTGTCCCAAACCTGCTCTTAAAACTACTGTCTGCTCTGCTTGGGAAAATCTGAATACTTTTCAAAATAAAATAATCTACAAATAGAAATACCAGCAGCGCCCACAAAGCAGGTTCCTCTACACATGGTTTGTTTTCTATAATATAATGATTTAAGAAAATAGTAATGTACAGTATGAATAGTTGAACAGTCTCCTTCCCAGATATTTTTCTAAAGTCATATTCAGTGTTGTATTACTCCTTAAATCTCAAAGCAAGGTGGACTCCAGCCCATTCCACTGACTAATGCGTGGTGGTTGTAGATATACTGCATATACAGCACTGTTTGCTCTGTGTTTTACTGGGCCAGTGACTGCTTCCAGACTGCCAACCCAAACTCCTCATTTTCCTTCCCTCCATCTTTCTGAACTATTGGCGAGGAACCAAGAGCCTCTACTTTGGCTGTGGGAAGGATGGGATGGCACTCAGGAGGGTGTCTTGCTGCACTGCTGGAGGATGAGTGGGCATCTCCAGAGGGATGTTGTAGTGAGTTTTAAGGAAGAGATGCAACAGAAATGCAACTAAACTGAACAAGGAGATGGAGGAGTTGGTTACCCAGGGAGTCACAAAACAGTCTTCAGTTTGAGGAGGAGACAGCTGAGGGGGGATACGACTCGGTTTTAGGACATCGTGTTTTCTGTGGCAAAGAAGCTGTGAAACCATTGCCAAACCTCAGTACTTCCATACGCCTTAAGGACGAGAAGGTGAGCAGGGGCAGGGGCGAAGGATGTCTAAGCAACCTCGTAGTCCTCTGCAGAGAAAGGATGGACTTCCAGCCCAGACTAAAGTCTTAACAGTTACAGCTGGTTTTCCTACAGCACTGAAGTGAGGCCAGTCCTGTTCAATATGCATAATCATATCATCAGTCGTATTTTGGTGTAATTTCAGACTTCTGCATTTTAGGAAATTAGTCCCCAAGTTCTTGCACCTATCCCTGCATGGGAAAGTAAAGGACTTGGTAAGAAGAATTAAAGTGGGTAACTCTCCAGCTGACAGGATGAATTACCTTATGTGGATTATTCAAGGTTTCATTCTTCCATTTTGTGCTCAGCTTGTCCTTTTTAACCAAGGAAAAAGTGTTCCTTGACAATTGGTATTGTCATACTGTGCATTTACGGACTTCAAAGTGAATAATTTTAATTCCAAACTTAGTGCCAACCAGTGTTTCCAATAATTAAACTCTCTGATCTCTTCTGACTCCATTTATTTAAATGAATGACTTAGGGATAATGAAATCAATTTGGATTGAAATGGAATGATTTGGATTAGACAAGCCACTCAGAGGTTGTTCCAGCCTAAATCATCCCAGAATTTTATTGTTTTTTATTAAGGCTGAAGCCACATAGTCTTTGGTCGAATTAATAAAACTTGGTAAGGAAAAGGAAAGGATACCCACTTCTCAAATCTTTCTGCACGAAAGCTTCTACTGGTTGCAGTAGGAAATCTGCATATAGCAGTTGTCATCATTACTGTTTTCAGATTTCTGAGGACTCCCTCTCTTGCTGCATAGATCAGAACTTCTGAAGGTGATTCCTAACACCTGACACTTCTGGCAATCCTCTGTCCTCACTGCAAGTCCCTCGGTCATCACAGAGCCACAAGCTCTTGTTTGTTCCCTGAAGGGGAAAACCTGGAATTAGGAGCCAGTTCCTTAATGTCTATTCACACCACTGATTTCATTACTTTCAGTGGAATTACTTGTGAGGCTGCAGAGTGGACAGTGTTGGTTAAAAATGCAAGTTTTAATCCGAGTTTATACAGAGGTGTCTCTGACACTGTCCAAAAACTTATTGTGGATTTGCATTTTCTGTAGGAGCTTACGAAAAATGAAAACAAACCCAAGAGATTCTAGAAGGATCGTGTAATGTGTCCTTTTTGCAAACATGCAGGATTCATCTGTCATTTCCCTTCAGCAGACTGCTCTATGTTAACACTTTTGTGGTATCGGCTTCTACATCTGGACTGAAGCAGGTTTTCATATGACAGTAATTATAATACTCTTTCTAGGCTTTTTTTTTTTTTTGTATTGGAATTAGATGCACCCAGTTGGAAACCTCTGAATTCACAGCAAGGCTAGAGCTGGTTTTTCCACATTAATGAGTTATTAATTTTGAACAGCAATCCAAAGAAATACTTAATTGCTTACCAATAAAGTCAGCTTGCTGCAAAGAAAAATTTCACTCTCCTTAAAAAAACAGTTTTCATGACAGAAGAATTCTTTATGATGTGAAAGATACCTATTTTGGAACAGTGAAAACTTCAATTAAATCCTTCTTATGGGCAAGTGGGCCTGGTTTTCCCATCTTTTGCCCAGTATTTTACTACTGCAACATTAGCATTAGTCACAGAGTTATGTCTCTGCTTAGCTTGCCAGAACATAGAGGTGAAATTCAAATGTAAAGAAAGACTTTGTGGAAACTGTTCCTGAAATCAGAGAGGGACTGCATGTTTTATTGTAGCCCAGGCCACTGAGAGAGCTCCAGATCCCACGCAGATGCCCAGGCAGTGATGTGTCCATACACACACCTGTGCATTTTACTTTCCTGTATCCTTACAGGTACAACGAGTAGGCTTGGCTTGGACATTTCTGAAAGAGCCCTCACCCGAACCAGAAGACTTACTTTGGTATTACTTTTTTTTGTACAGTGGGTAACATTTTTCTCTTGTTTCTTCTTGCTGGCCTTTCCCACTGGCTGTTGGATATTGTCCTCAGCCAGGCAACATTAGCGGCAAACTTGCTACTTATTCCATGCGGTGATCCCCTACGGATCTATTTGTGATCTCATGCTGTTTTTGCTTTATTTTTATGCAACCACCTTTAGTGGAAGCATTTCTGGTTTTATTTATCAATTACTGTCAGGGTTTTGTAGTCTTACTGGTACAATCTACTTGAAAGTGCCCATAAGCTACAGCAAATACAAACCCATTCTTTTTACAAAACTTTTTTTTTCCTCACAAAATGTGGTTTAAATAACAGTCATAGGCATAGTTGCCTGGGAGAACCTTCCAGTTTTTTCATGACAGGCTCTGTTTCCTATTAAGAAACGTGTTCTTTTGATCAAGGTGCAAATCGACTCTTTCTCATGCTCTTCCAACACTAAACATACACTTATTTCAAGACATTTAAAAGCTTCATGTACCTGCAGATGGCTGATTTTTTACATCCCCTTCCTCATGGAGCACCTCACATTGTGAAATGGCTCTTTACTTCCTGATGTTCCTCAGTCCTGGGATTACTAATTCTACCTGCCCATCTCCAAAGTCACACACAAGGCTGGTGATCTCATTCCCCAGAGCTGCCCCGATTTGTGGGGATCTGCAGAGCCCACACCTGCTTGCTTCACCTTCCTTATTGTCTAGCCCAGTCTGCAGCTGTGCTTTGTTTTCCCTCATAACACTTGGCAGTATTTTTTCACGGCCACTGTGCGACGATGGCATACAGATGAGTCAGAGAGCCAGACCTCCAAAGAAAACTAAGAGAAACAACAAATTTCACGTAGAGAAGCAAAGCGCCTGGGGTAGTCAAAGAGAATACTGTGGAGGAAGATGGACTCTTGTTTCCTTGGAGCGTTGGGAGGGATTTATGGAGGAGAAGGAGCGGGGCCGGCCCTGCACTGGGGGCGCTGCTGAGGCGGCGGGGATGGCGGCGCTCCCGCCTCATGAGGCACCGGACCCTCAGCTCCGGCGGGTCCTGCAAAGGCTCCTTGTGGGCCCCGGTCCCTCCGTCCCTGCCC